TGTTGGGTTAATGGGTTAATGTTGGACTTGTGGGCTTGGGCAGCATTGGGTTGGGATGTTTTCGTGATGCACCTTTTCTTTACATAAAACTCTTATACATGAGTCGCTGTGGATTTGTTTCTCCAAAGTACCTAGACTAATACAGGGAGCATGTATGTCTCTAAAAAGGCAATTGCACTTCTATTGGTGGGTAAACCGAGCGGAGCAGCTTCCCATTGGGAAAAAGACGTAGCGATACTTATATAGAACCCAAGGGGAGAATGTGCCTGGTACTATATTCCTAAATGGACACTTCTGACCTAGTTTCTATCCAGCCCTTGGTGACCCAGCTAGAGTCTACTGGGTCTTAAGACACTGATTTTTAGGCACACAACCTCCTTCATAGGCCACACCAGAAAGATTTCCAATTGAAACCCCACGAAGTGAACTGGGCTTTATCTCAAACTCAATCTCAAAATTACGGAATTGGGGGTTCTTCAACTTTGTCTTCTGCTTTGTATTAATGGTGGCCTAGGACTACCATATAATTACTGTTTTAATGCTCGCTTAGTCTGGTAGGCATGCATCTGTCTTTGTGAATGAGTGTGATTGAAAGGTATGCCCTATTCCCAACTCCCATTGGTTGCGTAAATAATATACTCAAGAAATTAATGGTTGTACAAGTCAACAATTCAAGTATTACAGTCTGAAGTCAGTCGCTTGTGCTTGTATAATTTACCTTTCTCAACAGTGTTTTAAATTCTACCTCATAGGCTAAATTAATGACACTATCAATAGAATTGCTTTTGTGCCAGAAGGATGATTGGTAATCTATCATAAAATGATAATAATATGTCTAAAGTGAACCAGAGACATATATAAACCCTAGATTAAAAAAAAACCCTAGTTATAGGAATGGATTTGGAGCTTGCACTTAATTCTACCCCCAATATAAGAACAATTAGTTCTTAATAAATGGCCCTACTTGATGCTCACCTTCATGAAGAGATCACTGAAAATAAGTATGCCATAGCAAAATGTGGTGAAAAAAACAGATGGTGCCCATCTGTCAGAAAAAAAATTGTCCCTGGGATCTTAAAAAGGGTTGTCTCCAAACAAGCAGTCATCTAAGTGAGGCATCAACTAACTCCAGATGGAATAAGCACACCAGCTCGTGTGATCCAAGGCTTTAAATAATAAAATACAAATCTGAAGGGAGGAATGGTATCAGAGCTTAAACTGTGAACACCTGGTTTGCAGAAGGCCCTGGATGACAGTGGAAGTCCGATATCCATGTGCAGTTTCCACACATGAATTAAGCCTCTGGTGAATTCCCTCTGACCAGAGTCCGGGGATCTAAATAGCCTTGCTATCAATCAGAAAGCATTGTAAAGTCAATTATAGCAGATGTAGTTAGCTTAAAATGTTATTATTTGATCTCCCTTTTGACCCATTTTAAGTGCTTTCCATTTTTAATATTTTCTGCACTCTTTTTGAGTGTGTAAAGTTATTTCATTTTTAACAGTTCTATTGGCACATGATTCACATAACATACAATTTGACCATTCAATCATATTATGAAGAGTTGTACAAGCATCACTACATTCAATTTTAGAACATTTCCCTTTTTCTTTTTCTCATTGTTATTAGCTCCCTATTTCTCCCCAAGCTCCTCTCCCATGCCCCCAAGAAACCATTAATCCAGTTACTGTTT